TTTTCTCTGGCAGCTTGCGCGGACGACCTGGTTTCGCCGGGGAAGGTACTAATTCCTCGTATGTATTCTTGTTGAGGTGACGTAGGAGCTCGTCGTGGACGGCGGATTTCGATACGCCTAACTCTTTCGCGATACTACGACAGCTTCGCCCCTCTGCAATACGCGTCATGATCTGCCTCTGTTTCTCGACACTAAGGCGCCTCATGCTGCGGGGGTCGTTTCGCTACGCGTGGGGCGTCGACAGAGGTCGAGATGTGCTAAAAACCTAACTAGAGAAGAACTAACTACTAACGAAATGACGCTCGGGGGGTTTTGGAAGAAACTGTCCGTGTGGGGTGTCGAGAGGGAAATTGCACTGCAAAGAGATATCGCGGGACTGGGGGCTAGTGGTCACCAACACAAACTGGTAACACCGTGACGCGATACATGCACGGAAAAGAAACACAAAAGCACTCAACTATATTAGTGAAAAGCGTCGTTTAACGTAGATTACGAAAACATAAGGACGATTTTTTTGTTCAGTTGTAAATTCGAGTTAAAACGTGAACTTTACAATAATTTCCAAAAGACACGCGACCTTAGAGGACCCACCTTTTGAGAGTTTATTGGGTAATAACCTCCGCGGTAACAGTCATTGAGCTCGATCGCACGTGGAGTAAGCCACATGTCCAGATTGTAACGGATGTATCCTCTTATCCCCAGCGTGGTAACCAACATGCCGCGGTGGTCAATATTGTTGCCTGAATGGTAATGAATCGTGCATTCAGATTGTGAAAAAGAACTAGTGAGCGTAAGGCTTAGGAGCCATGGTAAGTTGGGTAGGAGCGATTGAGCTCGAGTGAGTTTAGGAAAGTCGAGAGGTTTCAACAAAAGAGGGGTTTCACTATAGAGCGAGCAGTACAAATAGGCAAGAAGAAAGGTGCACCACCAAACAGAACATTATATAACTACAGTAGTCTACACTACAGGCAGTTACAAAACAATATATAGAAATATATATTATTCTTGACACGCCCCCATAAGTGCCTGTAGGGAAGAATATGCAGTCAACGCCCCCATCATGGGGTACACCAGACATGCCGCAGCGGAAATCATAGCAACAGGCAAGAGCAGTGGCAACCGGTGCAGTGATGGCAGATCCAGCTGTACCAACCCCTTTACCAAGGTAAAAACAGTAGCAGGTGTTGGGGCGGCAGGTCGCCTGAGGAGCAGGCTCTGTGGCTGCAACATGCAGCAGGACAGCAGCGGCTCGACGGCAGCACCTGCAGGCCCCAGCAGTAGGTAGCAGAAACAAGGACAACAAAAGGTAGGTGGTAGCAGGGGCGGCAGCTGGAGGTGCCACGGCAGCAGCGGACGTCAGCAGCAGATGACCGGTTGACTTCCGTCGCCCCCTCACTCCCCCCCCCACAGCGGCACGTGCGGCAGTGAGAGAGAGAGGAGGGGCGGCAGCTTCTTGCTCACACCCGCCTCCCCAAAACCTCCCCCCCACACTGCTGCACCGTCGCTTGCGTGGCAGCTGCAGTGGTAGCAGCGGTATGTTCGACGGGAGGACGGGGCAGGGGGCGCGTTCGGCGACGTAAGTAGCTCGGCCGCCACACCCGCCGTCTCCCCCCAAAGCGACCGTCGATGCAGACGCTCGGGGCCGCGACATGGCGTGACGAGGTTGCAGGAGGGCGCGAAGGGGAGGCGACTGGGCCGCCGATTGGGGCCGTGACGAACAGCACTAAGCCCGCCACGCTGGACTTCGTAAGCTTCACGAATAGCGGCCGAACGGGCACTTTTGGGGCCGCGACGAGCGCCATGGCAGGAACGATAAGCGGTGGGCCTATGGCAAAAAAAAAATTCAGGTCCTAGGATAGGAACCTCACTCTGATATCATGTGAAAAAGAACTAGTGAGCGTAAGGCTTAGGAGCCATGGTAAGTTGGGTAGGAGCGATTGAGCTCGAGTGAGTTTAGGAAAGTCGAGAGGTTTCAACAAAAGAGGGGTTTCACTATAGAGCGAGCAGTACAAATAGGCAAGAAGAAAGGTGCACCACCAAACAGAACATTATATAACTACAGTAGTCTACACTACAGGCAGTTACAAAACTGAAACAAATAATATATATTTCTATATGACACAGATTTTTTGGCTGGTAACTTCGCGTTCCAACTGAACTGTACGCTGTACAAGTAGGTAATTGGCTTAGCCAAAACAAAACTGACTGCCCACATCTACTCCATAAAATGCGCATTTCTGTTTATAATAGCAGCGTTTACAATTCCGCACGTTCAAACCTGCTATTGGGTAACCTGTAAATAAAAATCGAATGCATGACCCATCAAATAAACCCCACATTCAAAACACATACACACAACGTCAAACCGGAAAGCTATCAGAATGATAAAAATTGTGAAACATAGTATTTTACTCTACTGAACTTGTATTTACTAATCTTAAGAACTGGAGCTAAATCAAGTGACGTTGTGTTTGATGTTGTATTTGACGTTGTGATCTTCGTAATTTGATTTAGCTCTAGTTCTCAAGATTAGTAAATAGAAGTCCGGTAGAGTAAAATACTATGTTTTATCATATTTATCACTATAATAGATTTCCGGTTTGACGTTGTGTGTAATGCATTCGATTTTTATTTACATGTTACCCAATAGCAGGTTTGAACATGCGGAATTGTAAACGCCACTAGTATTAACAGAAATGCGCATTTTGTCAAGTACATGTGGGTAGTCAGTTTCTTTTTCGCTGAGTCAATTACCTACTTGTACGGTGTATAGTTTGGTTGGAACGCGAAGTTACCAACCAGGAAATCTGGATGCACTGTTCATTACCATTCAGGCAATAATGTTGACCATCGCGGCATGCTGGTTACCACAGTGGCGATGAGGGGATACCTTTGTTACGATCTGGACACGTGGCCAACTTCGCGTGCGATTGAGCTCAATTTCTGTTACTGCGGAGGTATTTACCCGATTTGATTTCTCTTTGCTGCACATCGCACTCTGGGTCAATCGCCATTGGTTTTCCCATAAACCATTTCCGTGATCTACGGAAACTGCTTGAAAGACCTCGTCTTGAAACGTGGGGTGGAGGAGACACAACTGGCTGCACTTTACAGTAACAAGGAAGGAACAGTTATTGTTCATTCTGTTGAGGGTCCATCTGTTCCTCTGTACCGCACTGTAACAGCCTGGGATTGAGCAAAACACATGTAGTGGAAGGAACCTGACTCGACCAATTGAAAGCACGTCACTTGGCGGGCGATTCGGCTGTCGCCTGTCGTTGACGAAATTCGACCAATCGAAAAACAACCTCTGCAATGCTGTTCCGTGTTCTTGGTGCTTCGCTGGCTGACGGAAAAAATCGATTCAACACGTTCAGTGAGAGGAACTCCAAGCCAAGATGATGGGGTGTGCCATAATCACTCATCATCCACTCTCAAGAGTCGAAACGAGAACAGAACACTCACATGAGCAACTGAAAGTCCGTACAGGCAGCGATACTGGCGTCAGTAATTTTTGAAACGTACTTTGAACACCAATTGGCCACCCTTCAGCTCACCAACCTTCTCCAACAACCTCGACGAACTTTGACGTCGGGAATGTGCAGCACTTTGACCCCTCCCTAAAATTGCGACTGACCTTTATGAATATTTTGAACTTTTTTCTATCTCCCTCAAACCGTTGATGGGTCGTTCGTTCCACACATTTGGGAAGTCCCAACAACAAGATGCCTGCGCACGCGCATTCACTGCGCTATTCACGTTCTCGTGTCTCCTTGCGGAAAAGAAGTCAACCACCGGCAGGCAAGCACAACACTGTCATGCCACCACGAGGAGCAAAGCTGGAATACAAATGTTCTCGATTAGAGTCGCCGTGAAAAACACGCGCGCTGCGGGCCTTTGTGGAAAACTCACAAACCCTGGGCAAAAGGGAACTTATTGTCCCACATAAGGACAATTTCATGAAGAGCGATTTTCCTTCGCTACTATTCGTGGTTTTTTGTCACATACGTACATTCGGACTACGCTGTCTTCAACTTCTCGTCGTACGGTTCGCCGCGTTGATCAGTGTCGCAGGACAAACGGGCAGAAAAATACAAAACAAATTATTTTGAAGGCCCAAATTAAGGCAACATTTTTTGTTTTACACTGTAAGCGAGATTAATGAGGTGGCATCGTCGGAGCTCGCGGGAAACCGCGCAACAGGATTTAGACACAAGAGCGTTGAAGATAAACAGACAAACACAACTTTAAAAAGTAAATAGTGAACTAAAACTTCCTTTTGTTTTGTTTTCTCTAAATGTTGGGAAGGGCCTCTAAGCCAGAACATCTGTACAGCTCTGCTAGTTCTGCTCTGCATTTCCCTCATTCACTGGAGCTCTTCAGGAACCAGTGTACGAGACCAACACAACCTTGTCGATGCTCTGATTTCGCTCAAAACTCTTCTTCTGTGTGTCACCTCCGTAATCACTTCGCAAGAACTGGCGATCATGGCAACCGACCAACGTCTTTCTCCAACGGATATGTCCGAAGCACACTTGTCAATACGGGTGGACTCACGGAACTTTTGCTACGATAACGGAGAGAACCAGGCATCCAGACGTACAACAGCTGTCGATCTTGAGACGATAGAATGCGACGAAGCAGGCAGATCGCACGCAGAAAGCGACGTCGCCGAGGGCTCCGGCGACGCATTACCCCTTATTAGCAGGTCAACGATCAACCCGCACCGGCGAAGTCCACGGCAAGATACCGGCGAAGCGTCAGATTCCACGTCAGTAAACGGCCAAGCGAACGGTTCAACGGAACCGTCAGTTCAATGTCGAATTCTTTGCGGCCCGAGCAACAAAGTCGCAGACGAATGCAGCGACGACGATTCCGACGACGCCTTCGGCGACGGCGACAGCAGTTCGCGGAAGAAGTTTGAGAAATCCCTCTCCGTAGGAAGCGCCGCGAGCGGCGGCGCCGGAAGCGGAGAGGCAAATGACGGGAAACCGAACGACATGGAGGCACCGATCCGCGTGCGACGCGTGGACTTCGACATCAGCAGCGAGAACCACTACGTGATCGTGATTCACGGCACGTTCGACGCGCCGCCACCCGGCGGAGCGCCGACGTGGTACCAACCGCCGCCTGCCGGCGAGCAGAATTTCTGCCGGAAGCTCAGCCGGCTGCTCGCGCTCGGGCCGATCGGGCAGGACGCGGTCTGGCGCGACTTGCCGTGCTCCGCGCTCCCGGGAATTCCGTACCCGTTCCACTGGGACGGCTCGAACACGCATGCGGGGCGCGTAACGGCGGCGATGAAGGTGAGGTGTGGACTCTGATTACGGCTGTGCGCGGCGAATCCGCTGCGCTGCCCAAAAATCTGAGCCTCAGCGGAGGCGGAAACCTCTTGAGTCCGTCCGATGTCATCTGCCGGTTCCACTTTTTCCCCGGTTTCGAGCGACACAAACACAAACCGTTTCCTTTTTGCTGTTACAATAATACATCCTTTCCATCTCTTGATCACCATGCCATATCTCCTCGCCTGCTGCCCCTCTTTCCTTTCAGCTGCACAACCTGATCGACCAGATCGCGCAGAATGACCCAGCGGCGCGGATCCACCTGGTGGCGCACTCGCACGGCGGGAACGTGCTGCTCAAAACCATCGAGCTGGTGAGTCTAGCTTGAAGGCGGCCTAAGTGGTGCAGATAATAAGCTATGGCGAGCCGTAGTGTACGTCGTTCATTTCGTTGCGAAAGGTTTTTGGAATTAGAGCTGGTTGCCCTAGATGCGGATTTCGCAAGCTTCACCCTCTTCCCCCACCATCTCTCACCCCCTCTCTCTTCACTCTTTTCCCTTGACCTTCACCCCCCCCCAACCCCCCGCCCAACCTCCCCCGCCCCCGTCCGCGCAGTACATGGCGGAAGCTGGCGCGGCGCCCCAAGGACGCATGAAAGCATCATTTCCCCACCAGCTTCTTCTCCTTTCTCCTCTTCAGTACACCAATCCCCCCTTCCCCCCCTCCCTCCCTCCCCTTTACCCCCCGCCTCCGCCCCCCCCCCCCGCGCCCAGTACATGGCGAAGCTGGCGCGGCGCCCCAAGGCGGAGTGGCACCCAGCGGTGGCGCAGCGCTTCTGGGCGGCGCACCGGCGCAGCTACGAGCTGATCAAGAAGTGGCGGCGGCTGGAGTTGTACGACTCGTGGTGGCGCTTCTTCCCCTTCCTCGTTGTGTACCGAGGGTGAGTGCGGGAATGAGGGGGATTTAGGGAGTGAGGGGGATTTAGGGAGTGAGGGGGATTTAGGGAGTGAGGGGGATTTAGGGAGTGAGGGGGATTTAGGGAGTGAAAGGGATGTAGGGAGTGAAAGGGATGTAGGGAGTGAGGGAGCGAAGGAAATGGGTGAATCAGGGAGTGAGGGGGTGCGTGAGGGAGTGAGAAAGTGAGAGAACGACAAGGCGTAAGGAAGGGAAGTGACCTAGAGGTAGTATCAGGTTGTTTGGGTGGTGCACCGGCGGAGTGGAGCTACGATTTGATCAGGAAGTGGCGGCGGCTGGAGCTGTACGACTCGTGGTGGCGCTTCTTCCCCTTCCTCGTTGTGTACCGAGAGTGAGTGCGGGAGTGAGTGAGTAGGGAGTGAGTAAGTGAGAAACGTTGAACACGGCGCAAGGGAGGGGAGCGATTGTTAAGAATTCTCAGGAAGGATTCAAGTGGCCGAGCAGTAATGACTAGGGACAGGTGGTCTGGGTAGCGCGCTGGTGCAGCAATGGGCTGATCAATCAACAAGTGGCGGTAGCTGGAAGCTGCGCGGATCGTGGTGGCGCTTCTGGTGAGAGTGAGGAGTGTGGGGAGTGTAGCGTGTGAGGGAGGGAGCGAGGGCGAGTGAGTGAGTGAGTGTGTGGGGAATGGCAATGCAGAGGGTGGGAAGCTTTGTAGGGTTAGTAACCAACAGTGGCTGGACTCGCTCCTGGACGTGCGAGCCATGCACCAGCGCCACTTCCTCTACCCCTCTGCACCAGATTCCACTCCCTCTCCCTTCTCTGCCCGCATCCGCCCTCTGCCCGCATCCGCCCTCTGCCCGCTTCCGCCCACTGCCCCACTTCCCACCTCCCTTTGTGCAGGTTCAACGGGCAGAGGGTGAGCGGCGTGAAAGAGACCTACCCCTGCGCTCTCCACCAGTGCTTCAACTCCCTCCTCAGCCTCCTAACCGTGCGCCAGCTTTGCTCATCTACCCCTATGCACTATACTCCACTCCCTCTCTCCCAACCCTACTCCCTCCCATTCTCATTCACCCAGGTTCAACGGGCAGAGGGTGAGCGGCGTGGAGACCTACCCATGGGCGCTCCACCGATGGCAAGATTCCCACCTCCACCTCCCAGCCGTCCGCCAGTGCCGCTTCCTCTACCCTTCTGCACCGTACTCCACTCACTCTTCCCCATTGAGCCCCCCTACCCCCACCTCCCTTCACCCAGGTTCAACGGGCAGAGGGTGAATGGCGTGAAGGAGACCTACCCATGGGCGCACCACCAATGGCTGGACACCCTCCTCAACCTCCCAGCCGTGCACCAGCGCCGCTCCTTCACCCCTCTGCACCGAACCCCACTCCCTCTCTCCCCAACCCTACTCCTGGCAGGTTCAACGGGGAGAAGGTGAGCGGCATGAAGGAGACCTACCCATGGGCGCTCCACCAGTGGCTGGACACCCTCCTGGACCTGCCAGCAGTGCGGCAGCGCCGCTTCCTCTCCTTCCACCAGGCCACGTCCCCCGTGACCAACGCGCTGGGCTCTCTCGTGTTCCTGGGCACGCCGTTCTACATCAAGAAGTGGCAGCGCCACGGCTTCGCGCGCATGCTGCTGTCTCACTCCCCCCTGCTCCCCTCCACGCCCCTACTGGCAGGTTCAACGGGCAGAGGGTGAGCGGCGTGAAAGAGACCTACCCATGGGCGCACCACCAATGGCTGGACACCCTCCTCGGCCTGCCAGCAGTGCGGCAGCGCCGCTTCCTCTCCTTCCGCCAGGCCACCTCCCCCGTGACCAACGCGCTGGGCTCTCTCGTGTTTCTGGGCACGCCGTTCTACATCAAGAAGTGGCAGCGCCACGGCTTCGCGCGCATGCTGCTGTCCATGGGGGTGGGCGTTCTGCTCACGTACCTCTTCATTCTCGCGTACACGGCGTTGTGGGAGCTGCTCGTGCTGCTCATGGCTGGCAGGCCGCAGGAGTGAGTGCTTTGGAGTCGAACAGTGCTGTCAGTTGTACCCGTGATTGTGTGGGGCTGGGCGGGCGTGCTGCTGTCCGTGGGCGTGGGCAAGCTGCTCACGTACCTCTTCATTCTCGCCTACACGGCGTTGTGGGAGCTGCTCGTGCTGCTCATGGCGGGCTGCCCGCAAGAGTGAATGGCGTGGCTTGCAACAGTGCTATTGGTGGTGCCTGTGATCTGAGCATTGCTGTCAGGGGGGCCTGTGTATGTGTGCGGCTGTTGGTGCTGCTGGTTACACATGTTCCCAGCATCGCGCATCCTCTTCGCAGGTCTTTCTCTCGCTTATCGTGCACTGTCAGACTCTCCCCTTCCCCACATTTTCTCCTTCCCAGCCCCCCCCGTCGTCCCTCGCCCCAAGCCTATTCTCAGCATGACAACATTGATGGTTACTCTTCTTTGTAACCTCTCAACATCACTCCGTCTTCGCCACAAACCCTCTAGGGCCATTCATCCGTGTCTATTTCACTCCCATCCCTCCTCTCCTCACCTCCTCTCCATCCAACTTTTTCCCCTTGCCTTCCAACCCCCCAGGTTTTACTTGGAGTCAGGCCCTCACCTCATCCTCCTTCTCAGCTGCCTCATCGCCGCTGCCACCATGCTGCTCGTGCTCGTCAAGCTTTGGAACGTCTCAAAAGGCCCTCCTCTCCGTCCCACCGTTTTGCTGTGTCCCCTCCTCCCTCCCCTCACTCGCAGGTTTTACGCGGAGTCGGGCCCTCACCTGATCCTCCTTCTCAACTTCCTCATCGCCACGGGCATCATGCTGCTCGTGCTCGTCAAGCAGATCATGGACGTGAGTGTCACGAGGTGTGGGTGTAATGAGATGTGTTGGTCGTGGCACTACAATGGATGTGAGTGGGAGGGCAAAGACACGGGCATCATGCTGCTCGTGCTCGTCAAGCAGATCATGGATGTGAGCGTAGTGAGGTGTGGGTGTACATATATTGAGCACTATGTGCGATCATATCCTATCCGGGTGCTACTAGTGGATCACTAAGGGTTTGTGTGCCTCTGTGTGGGAGCTCATCCACACAGGCATGTTGCCAGGGGATGACATTTGAGTCAACTCAAAAACCACACAGGCATGTTGCCACGGGATGACTTTCGAGTCGACTCAAAAACCACACAGGCATGTCCCCACGGAATGACGTTTGAGTCGACTCAAAGACCACACAGCCATGTCTCCACGGGATGACTTTTGAGTCGACTCAAAGACCACACAGCCATGTCGCCACGGGTATCATGCTGCTCGTGCTGGTCAGCAGATCATGGACGTGAGTGTAACGAAGCATGGGTGTATGGAGGTGTGAGGGTGCCCAGGTGTGAGTGTACCGAGATGTGGTTGTAGGGAGAGTGAGTGGTGGATGTTGGTACACTCACAGAGAGGCAGGAGAGATTGATGGCATGGCTGTGTGGTTGCCCTCCCACTCACATCCATGGTAAAACTACCATCAACGCCAAAATACCACCCTTCCACCCCTCTCCACCCTCCCACCCCTCTCCACCTTCCCGCTTCACCCTCCCAACTCACTCGCCATCTCATATTCCCCACTCTACTCCTCATCCTGTCACCCTCTGCGCACCACTGTGCTCATATACCATCACTGTTGGATCAACCACCACCCATTTTGTTCTCCGCCCCTCCTCGCCCCACCCACTCGATCTCCTCATGCCTCTCTGCTTCCCCCCTCCAGGCCACGAGCAACACGGTGCTACACAGCAACACGGTGCTACACAGCAACAATTTCTGCCACAACTCCTTCGATCTCCTTCGCCACTCATCCGACTTTCTCTCATCCTCCCCCTTCTCCCCTCCTCCCCCTGCTCCCCCCCCCCAGGCCACAGGCAACACAGTGCTGTACAGCGGCAACCTCTACCACAACCCGGCCTTCGACTGGTCGCCTGCCATGTCCGCCCTCGTTATTCACGCCGGCAAGCTTGATGAGGTGAGTGCGCCACCCCCTGCCACCCCCTGCCACCCCCATTCGTCCCCACCCTCGTTCACTCACCAGGCGAGTGCCCGTTGACTGGTCGAATAGCATATCACGCTTCCCACCTTCCTTCACTGTTTCTCCTCTCCTCACCTTACTCGTCTCTTCATTGCTTTGCTATCTCTCGAATGAAACACCCACCTTCCCCCCCACTCCCATTTCGCCTCTCATTCCCTGCCTCCTTTTCCTCTCCTCCCCTCCCCCTCCCTCCCCCTCACCGTTCCCTCTTCTCCTCCTCCCCCCAGGCGAGCCTCGCGCTATCCATGGAGCCAATCACGCGAGCCTACGTCTTCCCGCACCTGACAAAACTCCTGAAGCAGACCCCCTGGGCGCCGCTCCCCAAGGCACCCACACGCTACGCCCCCCAGCGAGTGTGGTGCGCGTTCCTCTTCCACTGCTCCGTTGTGCTCGTGTGGGACGTCCTCTTCTTCCTCCCTGCAGCCATCTTGTCTCTCTTCTCGCACCTCATCGCGCCGCTGGTGACCGGGTGGATTCAGCAGGCCGTGGTGGCCGTCAGCTTTGGGCTGTCTCCGGGGGATTTGAGCTATGCATACGTGTATGTGGACGAGAATCTGGACATGGAGCTGGCCACACAGCAAGTCGACCACTGGAACGTGCAGGTATGTAACATGGAAGGTTGAGCTCATGTGGGTTGGGTTAGCAGCTTGGTCTGGTTGATGTACCGTCACTGCCACCCAAACTTCCCTGAGCTACACCTACGTGTATGTGGGCGAGCATCTGGTATGGAGCTCTAGACACAGCAAATGGACCACTGGAACATGCAGGTGTGCAGGATGGAACAGGGGGGACGAGCAGCTTGGTTTGGTTTATATGTTGTTACTGCAAGCCAGTGTTACTGCAAGCCAGTGTTACTGCAAGCCAGTGTTACTGCAAGCCAGTGTTACTGCAAGCCAGTGTTACTGCAAGCCAGTGTTACTGCAAGCCAGGGGACCTGAGCTACGCGTATGTGTACGAGCATCTAGATATGGAGTGCAGCAAGTGAATAATTGGAGTGTGCCTGGACGGAACATAGAAGGGCGGGGACATGTGGGCTGGTAACAGGGAGCGGTGGGAACGTGCAAGCTGGTTTGGTTGGTATAGGTATTACTGGCACGCAGACCTGCTTGGTCTACGTGTATGTGTATGTGGGAGAGCATCTGGATATGGAGCTAGTTTCCCCTCACCCCTCACCCTCTCCCTTCTCCCTCTTCCGCAGAAACTTCTTGCTGGGGCAAAGTCCGAGTCACTCAAAGGCGAGCTGATGTTCGTTCCCTCTCTCACCCCTTTCTCCCTGCTCATTCTCCCTCCTCTCCCCCCTCCTGTCCCCTTCACCCCCTTTTAGAAACTGCTGGCTGAGGCAAAGACCAAGTCGCTCAAGGGCGAGCTCATGCCCGGCTATGAGGACGACACTGTGGAGCAACCCGATTGGCTTAAGCCAGTTCCCTCCCTCACTCTCTCCCACCCCTTTCTCCCCCCGCTGCTCTCCTCCCCATCTCCCTTTGCCCCTTTCCCCCCCTTTCAGAAACTGCTGGCGGAGGCAAAGACCAAGTCGCTCAAGGGAGAGCTCATGCCCGGCTATGAGGACGACACTGTGGAGCAACCCGACTGGCTTAAGCTAGTTCCCTCCCTCACTCTCTCCCACCCCTTTCTCCCCCCGCTGCTCTCCTCCCCATCTCCCTTTGCCCCTTTCCCCCCCTTTCAGAAACTGCTGGCGGAGGCAAAGACCAAGTCGCTCAAGGGAGAGCTCATGCCCGGCTATGAGGACGACACTGTGGAGCAATCCGATTGGCTCGAACCAGTCCCCTCTCTCCCTCTCACTTCCCTCGTCCTCGTTCTCTCTCTCCCATCTACCCACTCAACCCCCTTTGTCACCCCCTCTCCCCTTTCTCACCCCCTCTCCGCACCATCCCCCATTCTCCTCTCTCAGGAACTGCTGGCGGAGGCAAAGACCAAGTCGCTAAAGGGCGAGCTCATGCCCGGCTATGACCCATCTCTTATCATCACCCTCCCCGTCTCACTTCTGACCGTCACCATATCCCACCCCTTCCTCTCTCAGAAACTCCTGGCTGAGGCAAAGACCAAGTCGCTTAAGGGAGAGCTCATGCCCGGCTATGAGGACGACACCGTGGAGCAACCCGATTGGCTCGAGCCGTCCCCTGCCGCCCATCGCCGTGACCGCACGCCTGTTTTTGACGGCAGCAGCACCGGCACTGCCACTGTGCAGCAGCAGCCCGAGTGGCTCAAGCTGCCCCCTGCTGCCACTGTGCAACCCCCCTCGTGCGAGGAGGGTAGTGGAAGTGGGGAGGGAGGCGGAAACGAGGGGGCTGCTGCGGTGAGGAAGAGCACTCACAGCGTGTTCCGGAGGCGACGGGGGGCGCGAGGGCTGCTGCTGAGGCGCACAGGCGGTGCGCGGAGCAAGGAGGGCAGCAAGGGAGGGCGGCTTGGGTGCCTGGCAGGTGGGACAGAAACGGGTGAGGGAGAAGGGGATGGGGACGGGGAGAGTGAGAGTGCAGCTGAGATAGTTTCACCTGGTCCCGGTCCTGTTTCATCCGGTGCTCCATCTGGCGCTGCTCCCACTCCTGCTGGCCCCGGTCCTGCCGGTACAAGCACTGCCAGGGACCCGCGTGAGAAACTGGCCTTTGAGTTCCTCTGGGACGACCGGGAGCTCTCCAAACTGGCAGAGCAGTCGCAGACGTTCCAGCGCCTCAAGTCCCAGCTCCCCACCATGGGTCGCAACCCTCGGCTGAGCGACCGGGAGTTTGAGCGGCAGTTGCAGCAGCTGTGTGTTATGATCGAGGAACGTGTGGGGGAGATTACAGGGCGCTGTGATTTGAACCACGGGGCGTATTTCCGGGATCCGAGGATTCTGAGAGTGGTGGCGCATTTTATTGAGAAGCGGGAGCTTCCGGAGTGGTCTAAGCATGTGGACGGGGATATATGGCGGTGGAATGAGCATTTGAATGAGGTGCACTCGCTGCAGCTGCTGCAGATGTCGCAGGGAGGCCGGGGAGCGGGAGGTGATGGAGGGGCTAATGGGGCGTCTATTTGTCCAGAGTGTAAAGGTGCTTCTGCTAGGCTGAAGACGCTCTTTAGGAGTATCCGAGGGGGGAGTCAGAGGGAGGGGGGCCAGAGGGAGGGTGGAGGGCACGGGTTTTTGAGCGGCCATGCAGTGCACTTTCCTCACATGCCTGATTTCGCCAGTGGCGCCCGGAGCTTGCATCTCCCACACATGCCTGACTTGGCCAGTGGTGCTCGGAGCTTGCATCTTCCACACATGCCTGATTTTGCCAGCTTTGGGCATCACAAGAGCAAGGCAGTGGGATTTGGCACTCCTGCTGCTGCTGGTGGTGGCACTGCTGCTGCTGCTGCTGCTGCTGTTGCTGCTGCTGATGCCGCTGCTGCGGCTGCTGCTGCTGCTGCTGCTGCTGGTGCTGGTGGCGGTGGGGGCACTGCTGGTGGCGTTTCGCGAACTCCTGACAGCCACACGGAGAGGATGAGCAGCGATGGGCAGCAGGCACGGCGGCTGATGATGCAGCGGTCTCGGTCGGCCTCCCATGGATGATGTGAAATGATTCAATGATGGTGAGAGTGACGCGGGCATCAGCAGGGCGCGGAGCGGACGCATGAGAGCCATGCGGAGAGGGGGCGCAGCAATGGGCAGCAGGCACAGTGGCTGATGATGCAGCGGTCTCGGTTGGCCTCCCATGGGTGATGTGCAAGCGGAGCTGGTTTGATGGGGATAGCAGTGGGGATAGCAGTGGGGGTAACAGTGGGGATAGCAGTGGGGGTAACAGTGGGGTGGGGCATGAGCAGGGTGAGGACGCATGATGGCCACACTGTGAGAGCACGGGGCGATGGGAGAAGGCGGGATGAATGGTGCAGCAGCCGCTGTGGGCCTCCCATGCGTGAGGTTTGAGAGATTGGGGGCAGCAATGCGCGTGGCAGTGGGGTGGGCATGGGCAGGGTGCGGACGCATGATCGCTGTCCCTCCCAAGCTTGAGGTGCGAGAGGCCCTGGGGGAATGAGGATGGGGGAAGAGGAGGTTTTTTCATGGGAGTGCAGATTTGCGGTCGCAGTCGGCCTCCCATGCGTGAAGCGCGAGAGAGGTTGGTGGAATGGAGATGGGGAGAGGAGGTTTTTCCATGGGAGTGCTGATGTGCGGTTGCTGTTGGCCTCGCATGCGAGACGTGAGGAGTTGGTGGAACTACAGTGAGTGTGGGGAGGGTTTATGAGGGTGCAGAGCAGGGCTTGCTTGCAGTTGAATGCTTGGTGTCGGCCTTCAGAGTGCGTGATGTGCGGGATAGTGCTTGGTGATACTGAGGGAAGATATATGGGAGCTCAGAGCAGCGCTAGGGGTACATGTAACGCGGATGGTCTCGTGACTATTCGCGTGACGCCACAGTAAAAGTACCGGTTCAGAGTCAGCTCGAGATATTCATTATTTCTAGCCTGAATATCTCATGTATTTTCTCATTATTATCAATTCTTGTTCCCATTACTACCAGCATAGGACTTCCAGTCTTTTGTTGCATTATTTCCATTATCAACTGATTGAATTTGTGAAGTATGGAATATGTACTGTAATTCGGGATAATTTTTGCAGCGCCATATGATGCTCGTGGTGAAGTGAAGACAAGTACCTCAACAAAACAATTCGCGTTGAGGTATCACCGATATTCAACATATTTTTAGTATTACTCTGTTTATGCTTACCAGCAAAATAGTATTGTGAAAGGGATTGTAGCTCCTTGCAATAGCGCATGCCGAACCATGTTGACATACCGGACTCTTGTGAGCACGCAGTTGTGGGGATGTGTGGGGCTGGGCATCAGCGAGCGTTGCGAACTCTGCTGTTGTCGCCTTTCTTCGTCGTACCTCTCGCTTGCTCCTCTCATCCCCACCTAGCAGCTGAGATCGCACGGGGATTTGGAAATCGCAGTTTGCCATAATTTCCCACCCCACCCCAGGTCACCACCACAGGCCGTATGACTCGACCAGGGCTGTCGTTTCGTTTTGGTCCCCCTGGACAAATCAGGGGGCCCGGCATGTACGACCCTGTATTTAGCAGGGTCGGGGCGAATCTCGGCCCTTTAGGCTTCAGGGCTGAAATTTATTCCTCCCTGTAAATCAGGTTTGCCGCGGAAAATTCTGCAGCCAGGTTCTACCACAAAGCTGGCAGCTGCACTCCGCAAGTATCGAATTAGCTAGAAATCAATAAAAAAACTAGTTAGCGTCATTCACTACGCACGCGTAACAGACTTCCTCCTCTTCCAACTCTTAGCAAAGATCTGAGATGTGTTTTGCTGCTTGCTATGCCCATTCAGGCTTGAGGGTGCACAACAAGACGGGGATCTGATATGTGTTTTGCTGCTGCATGTTGGTTCATGCTACTGTCTGTGTGTCATGGGATGGGAGCGAGGTTGTAATTGGTACAAGTACCAGTTGTTGGTTGAGTTGTATCTGTGGTCAAGCCACGCAACTCCAAATTTGACAGGCTTGAATGCAATCAAAATAGAAACGGGGGGAGAGGGAATGGAGGAGTTTGGGGGGGGGAGGGGGGGGGGAGGAGTGGGAGGGGAAGTTCGAAAGACTTGTTCCAGGGCTCGCCTAAAATCTACCCTTAACACTCCAGACCTGAGCCCGAAATTAGCCATGTAATGAATCAGGGCCACAATTTTCTCAACCCATCAATTTCAGTTTTCAAGGGCAGCCCAGCCCCTGAATTCAAGGTTCAGCAGGGCAAACGCCCTGCAAGCGACAGGCCTAGACTCGACACAAGGAGGCTTGCTTCAGCGCCACCCTCGCTTGTGGATTCCTGGTTTCCTGGCGGCAAAGAACGATTGAATGCGATGGAATGGGATATGAATTATCATTAGTCTCATCTGAAGCGAAATGTGGATGATACGGAAGGGCAAGAAACATGAATGAATTATGTCTGAGCAGCAGCGCGGCTGCTCTGCCAGCTGCGCACCTCAGGTGCCAGCCTTCCCTCATTTGCCCCCATGAACAGTCCCTGCGAGAACACCTTGAAACGCCTCGCTATAAGATCCTCCGCTCTTCGTTTTCCCACCTACCTCGCGAATACGACGAACAGCAGTGAGTCAGTGACGCGAGGAAGCGTGGATATGCAATGCGCGGCGTCAGGCTGGTGGTGCCGTGCCGCGTCGCGATGGGGCAGCGAGAGGGAGGCGATTGGTTCAGGTGGAGGAATCGAAGACGCGATCCGAAGGCGGGGGGGATTTCACGGCGAGAAATTATGGATCTTGTCTGTGCGGACCTCTGGATAAGGAGCAAATCTCCTATTTTTGATTTTAGGAGTCGTGTGTGGGAGGAAAGGGAAGGGACGGCCTGTCCTTGGTTGAAGAGAAACGAAGTTGGATGGGAAATGGGATCAGAAGTGGGAAGAAGGCTGCGACTACAGTACTCCTGAGACTGGGTGACGATGGCGAGCGTTGGGATAACCAGCCTGGACTTTCTCCTGAGATTAAAACAGCGGGTGCGACTTCTTCGCTGCTCGATTCCCGATTTCTCACGACATATTCTGTTTCCGTACGTTCGCTTGTTTGCGATGCTCTCATCCTTCTAGCTCCTCGTTCGCCTCACCCGCTTTCCGTGCGTTTCTCGTTCACACCAGCACCATACCCATATGCCGCGTAGAATCCGCACTTCTAGCCGCACACCCCCCAAGCTGCGTCCATTCATTTCGGCAACTGTACCATCTCGCGACTTGACCCGTTCCGTAGTAGTAGATATCTCGCGGGTAGGCCGCAGGAACCATTATGAACCGAGACACCACCGAATTAGCTAATTTTTCGCGCATTACACCACCAATTCGTTACTGAGCCTGGGCCTGTACGTGCTATCAAGTTTTGATCTCTGTGATCCCGGGAGTCGTTCCTCACTCCAGTGCTTCCGTTCCGTTCACCTCGCGGCTGCGCCGATCCTTCGCGTTCCCGCGCCGTCCTGTCTCCCTTGTGCGCCCGCGCTGTGACGCAAAGGCCTGCCGTAGCGGCCGTCATGGGCTTGCCACTGCAGCACCGACGCCAACCGCCAGACGCGCCGCAGATTCCGGCTCGGGACGCTTCGAGGCGCCTGAGAGCGACGCAACTGCCCCCCCGTGGGTCAACGCCCCTGGACCTGGCCTCTGTCGCCTGTCGTTCGCCGCTCATGTTGCTGCTGGCGGTCGCAATCGTCGCCAGCCCTATGCGACAACCCCCCGTCGCACTCGCAGCACGGCCGCTGGACACGCCGCAAGGTGAGTCGCCACTGCTGCCCGATGCTGCCCCTCCATCCTCTCACACCCCCCTGACACCCCTCTCACACCCCTCTCGCCCCCGCCTTCAAGTTCTCTCACCTGTAGCAAAATCCCTAAACATGCTAACGTGCTGCCGTGCTGCCATGCAGTTGCGGCTCTTAGGCCTGTCACCCATCGGCGCGCAGCAATCAACTGAACCCCTCAGCCTCCCCCTCCCCACTGTCCGCGCCTGTGCTCGCCCCACAAGCCACTCCCCTCACTCCGCGCTCAACGTTCCCCTTTTCCTTTCCCGTTGCTCCAGTCCCTTCCTCTTCCTAACTTCTCCCCTTCCCCCTTCCCCCTTCCCCATTCCCCCGCACTCCCCTGCCCCTTTTCCCCTGTCCCACCAGGCGACCCAGCCACTGCGCCTGCACCCGCCTCCGCTCCCCCTTCCATCCCCGGATCCGCACCAGCACCCGGGGCTGACCCAAGCAGCAGCGGCAACAGCAGCAGCACCAATAGCAGCAGCAGCAGCAGCGCCAGCAGCGGCGGCAGCGCGCCGTTCAACATGTCAGCAGACAGCATCAAGCACGGTTACGACTTCTCCTGCCTCTTTAAAGACGTCCTTAGCACCGACTGCCGGAACAAACCCGCGAGCCCCTGGGCCGTTATGACCGCCATGATCATCTTCACTATAATCGGACTCATTATAGGCGTGCCTCTCTGCATCCTCTACCGCAACAGCCAGGCCGCGAAGAGAAAGCTCTTCGCGTGTTGCTGCCCGCAGAGATTGGAAGAACTGGCGGAGGAGGAAGAGGCGAAGAGAAAGGCGAAAATCGCGCAGCCGAGGCCGTGGGAGCTGCAGCAGCCGGGGATGACATTCTCTCTAAAGGGCAGCGGCAGGGGGGAGGAGGAGGAGGATGGGGAGGATAGCGACTGGGTGCGGTCGGAAGATGAGGAGCACGTGGAGTGCGGGCGAGGGAGGGGGGGCGGCAGCAGCAGCAGCAGCCGGGATGTGAAGCCGCCTGTTCCGCGCTCAAGGAGCTCCCAGGGAGGCACAGCAGCAGGAACAGGAACCGGAGCAGCAGGGGGAGTGCCGCGGGCTGTATCGGGTGGTTCCTCCGCCTCTGGTGGTGGTTTCTCCAGTGGTGTGCGGCGAGTGGCGGCTGCTGGGCCCGCAGGCAGAGGGAGGGGCGGCGGAGGGATGGGGAGAGGGAGAGGGGGAAGGGGAGGCAGAGGGGGAGGGAGAGGAAGGGGAGTGCCGCGGGCGATGTCAGCACAGGGAGCAGTGACGCGCTCAGTCTCTGTGGAGGCTGCAGCGCCAGGGAGGGGAGTTGCGGGCGGGCAAGGTGTGCCCAGAGCGGTGTCTGCAGAAGCCGCCATGCACACGGGAGCGGACAGTCAGAGAATGCTGCCAGGGGGAGCAGGTGGTGCTGGGGTGGGCGGTTTTGGTGCAGGAGGCACAGCAGGGACAGCGGATGGGCTGACCCGGGCCGGTCCCAGAAGCACCGTGCGTTTCATGAGCAGTGATGGGCGAGACGAGCGGGAGCACTGTGGCGGGAGACGGGATGAGGATGAAGAGGAGGAGGATATGGGCGGGGGTGCGGAGTATGAGTATGATGATATTGACATGGACTCGCCTGGGGGGCATGGCGGTGCGTATGCATCATACAGCCATGGCAGGAGCGGCAGCGCTGCTGCTATTCGCCAGCCGCCCCGCCACATGCCGGCACCCACACGCGACTATGATGACGAGGATTCGGACCCGGATGACGTGGAGGAATACACTCCTGTGAGGGGGCCACGTCAGCAGGGGATGTCCGGGCGGCATGAGTATGAGTATGACTCGGGACCAGGGAGTCGGAGGGGGCTGGGAAGTGGAAAGAGGGTAGGGATTGGACGGGAAGCAGGAAGGGATGATGGGAGGGAGGAGGCACGCAGACCACTGCACGCGGCAAGAGGTGATGAGAGATATGATTCGGATGAGTCAGAGGATCTATATGATGATTGAATTGAGGTGTAGCTGTCCCTAACTCTCATGGCGGTTTGTAATATTGGTGCTTATGTACAGTTTCAAAGAGAAACATTCAAACCAGTGTTCAGCGTGATTGTATAATGTGATATTGAGTGTTGTCAGGGCCGAAGAATCTGTGTTGAAGCACCCTTAGGAACCGAGGTTGCTTGAGTAAAATACTGAGACATACCAGTACGATACTGTACCGTAACTGCTGGATTTAGGACCCATGGGACTTGGTACAAATGTTTTATTCCGCCTCATAAGAGCCCATCCTTTATGTTCAAACCTTGTAAAGGAGTAACCACAAAGCTGTGCTGAATTTCGAAAATCCTGAAAAGGCGTTGTAATTGTTATACGTGTCAAATGTTGTAGCCTGTAGTGAGGTTTGTCTTAGGGGGTACAGAAGTTAGGGTTTGTCATATGTACCCCAACCAACATCAATGGAAACACCATTCCTCATTGTGACATGGTATCAGCTAGGTTAGGATCCTGTGGGATCCCGTTCCTCCGTTCTCCGTTCGTACCTCCCGAGCCTGATTCTACCTCTCGTTCGTACCAGTTCCGTTGTTACCGAGCCTAGCGCCCTTTCCCCCGTCGCTTAGCGCCCTTTCTCCCCGTCGCCTAGCGACCCCCCCCCCCCCCCCCCCGTCGCGTCGCGCCCTTTCCCCCCGTCGCGTCGCGCCCGTTCCCCCCGTCGCGTCGTGCCTGCCTGTTCCCCCCCCGTCCCGTCGCCCTGTCCCGTCGCGTCGCCCTACCCCGTCCCGTCGCCCTGTCCCGTCCCGTCGCCCTGTCCCGTCGCGTCGACCTACCCCGTCGCGTCGCCCTGCCCCGTCCCGTCGCCCTGCCCCGTCGCGTCGCCCTGTCCCGTCGCGTCGCCCTGCCCCGTCGCGTCGCTCCCGCCCTTTCCCCCGTCGCGTCGCCCTGCCCTACGCCCTGGCCCGTCGCCCTGCCCTAAGCCCTGGCCCGTCGCCCTACCCTAGGCCCTGGCCCGTCGCCCTCCCTAAGTCCTGGCCCGTCGCCCTACCCTAGGCCCTGGCCCGTCGCCCTACCCTAGGCCCTGGCCCGTCGACCTACCCTAGGCCCTGGCCCGTTGCCCTACCCTACGTACTGGCCCGTCGCTCTAGCCCGCTCTTCCGCTGCGACTGAGTTCTCTTCCCCCCCGGTTGTTACTCGCCTGTTCGTTCGCTTTAGTCCTCACTATGGTGACTCCGCGAGTTCTTCGTTTAGACGCTGACGGTAGACCCCTTGACTTTTCCGTCTGGCTTCTTCGCGCTCGCCGTCTGTTAGAGAGTCAGGTCCAGGGGGGCGAGACCCTCTGGTCACACGCTACTGGTGACCTCCCTGAGCCCCCCGAGCCTACAACTTTAGGCCCTGCTCCTGACGACGCTGCTACGGCTCGCTTTGCCCGTCAGCGCGCTGACCGGACGGCTTGGACGTCGCGTGACGCTGCGGCCTGCATCGCACTCAGCAGCCTCCTCCCTGAGTCCGAGGAGGTCCACTTTACTCAGGTTCGCACCGCTGCTGCGTACCTCACTGCGATTAAGGCCCGCTACTCTACTCCCGCTACTGTCTCTCTTGGCCGTCTTTTCCTCCCGTTCCTGTTTCCTGATCTTGCCTCGTTTGAGCGCTCTGCTGACTTGATCGCTCACCTCCGCTCGCTCGACGCTAGTTACCGCGCTGCTTGCACTGAGGCACAGCTTACACTGCTTCCTCCCCCCATGGCGATCACTGTCTATTTCATCGCCACTAGCCTCCCTGACCGCCTAGCCTCCGTTCGTGACGCGCTTCTGCTGAAGCACCCTAGTGAGCTGACTATCGAGGTCCTTGAGTCGACACTCAAGGACGTCGAGAGCAACCTTCGTTTGGTAGCTGCCGCCTCTGGTACTGTGTCCCCCCCACTCTTCCACGGGTGCACAGTCCCGCAGTTACCCACCTTCACTGCCTCTCTTGCCACTGTCGCTACTGACGCGACTGCGGCTGCTGTTACGACTGCGTCGCGGTCCCGCGGCAGGGGGGGCAAGAAAGGTGGTTCTGGTGGAGGTGGAGGCGGAGGTAGCGGAGGTAGTGGGGGTGCTGTTGCGACTGGGGGTGGTGGGAGTGCAGCGTCTGGAGAGACCCCTCGTGCAGCGGCTGGTGACTCCACTGCACCTGCTGGTGGCGGCGACCCCCGAGCTCGTCAGTCGCCTCCTGTACTGCCGGCCTCGCTAGGTGGAGCAGCGGCGTGGTACCAGGCTCAGCGTCAGCAGCACCTTCAGCAGCAGCAGCAGCCCCTTTCCTCCCAGCAGCCTCAGCAGCAGCAGCGTCAGCAGCTGGCTCCGGGGTCGGGGCTGCGTCAGCCCCAGCGCGGTGCGGCTTACCCTCCCTGCCCCTACCAGGTTCAGACAGGTCCTCGTCGGGGCCACCCTTGTGGCCGCTTTCACCCGCCTGGTCAGTGCTTTGCTCAGCTTACTGACACGGTCCGGTTGACCTACGGGATTGGCGGTCCTGCTCCTGACTGGCTTCCTCTGGTTCAGCGCTACGGCTCCGCTCTGTGGGGCATGTCTGCTGAGCAGTTAGTTGATCTGATTAGTGCTCCTCATGCTATGTATGCTGTTGTTGACTCTAGTGTTTCTGACTCTGTTTACTCTGGTGTTGTTAGCTTAGGTGCTAGTCTTGCTCAGTTGCCTGTTGCTAGTGTAGGTACTTGTGTAGACTCTAGACCAGCGACTACCTCAGGGGACGCTTCGCTGTCGTTCACACTGGACTCTGGAGCCTCCCACGGCTTCTTCTGGGACAGCACGACACTTACACCACTTCCTGCGCCTGTTTCTGTAGCGTTGGCTGATCCCACTACGGGACCAGTCACTGCCCGTCACACTACCACTTTACCGTGTCCTGCTGCTCCCTCCGGGTCTCTCACTGGGTTTCACGTCCCCTCGTTCTCCCGGAACTTGGTGGGCGTGCGACCCCTCGTGAGTCAGCACGTGGGTGTGTGGTTTGAGCCTTCTGGAGAGACTGCGGTGTGTGTTGACGGAGACTCTTACCAGCCTCTTGCTACCTTTACTGCTGAGCCGGGCTCGGGTCTCTACACTCTTCACACTGGCCCGCGTGCGCCGCAGCAGCAGCCGCAGCAGCAGCAGCAGCCGCAGCCGCAGCAGCAGCAGCAGCAGCAGCAGCAGCACCAGCGGCCGCACCAGCAGCCCCCCCTACTGCCACTGCCCCCGGTTCCCCCCCCCGTTCGGGTCCCCGTGTCTCACCAGGTTGCTTCGTCCCCCCAGGTGTCTGTGTCGTGTCAGGTTCCTACGTCTGTTCCAGTCACTGCGTCGTGCTCCTGCCGGTCGCTTGCCCACCCCACCGTTCTGTGGCACCACCGGATGGGGCACCCGTCCCTTCCTCGTCTGCGCGCTATGTCTAGTCAGCGTCTTGTCCTAGGCCTCCCACGTGTCTTGCCGTCGCTGCCGCCTTCGCTTGCGCCGCCGTGTCGTCCCTGCGTCGAGGGTAGGCTGCGCGCCACCCCTCACTCCTCCTCCCTTCGTCCGGCCACCGAGCCTTTTGAGACGCTTCACTTGGACGTCTGGGGCCCCGCCCCTCGTCTAGGCCTTGAGCGTGAGCGTTACTTTCTGGTGGTCGTTGACGACTTCTCCCGCTACACCACAGTGTTCCCACTGGCGAAGAAGTCTGAGGTGACTTCTACGCTGATCAGGTGGTTGCTCACCACCGAGGACACTCGTGGTCGTCGTGTCAGCTGTCTCCACTCCGACCGTGGGGGTGAGTTTCGCTCCGGCATTCTCGCTGGATTCTGTCGCGAGCAGGGCATTCGTCAGTCCTGGACGCTTCCAGAGTCCCCACAGTAGAATGGGGTTGCTGAGCGCCGCATAGGCCTGGTCATGGAGATCGCCCGCACCTCCCTGACTCACGCCTGTGCCCCCCATTTTCTGTGGCCCTACGCGGTCAGGTACGCCGCGCACCAGCTGAACCTCTGGCCACGTGTCTCTCGACCAGAGGTTTCACCGACCAGTCTTTGGACAGGGTCCCCTGGTGTTGCGTCGCGGTTTCATGTCTGGGGGTGCTTGGCTCTTGTCCGCGACACCTCCGCGGACAAGCTCTCGCCTCGTGCCGTCCCTTGTGTCTTCCTTGGTTTCCCTGAGGACTCCTCTGACTTCACCTTTTACCACCCTCCCTCTCACCGGTTCTTTGACTCCCGTGACGTCCGTTTCGAGGAGTCCACTCCGTACTACGTCAGGTACCCCAGTCGAGGTCTCCCGGTTCCTCCTCCCCCCCTCTTCCTGACTGCCGCTCCCCCTCCTGCTCCCCCGGTACAGCCTCCCCCCCCTGGCCCAGCCCCGTCAGGTGTGTCCCAGGCTACCCCTCCTCCTTCGGTAGCCCCTCCGGTACAGCCTCCCTCCCCACAGTCCTCCTCGCAGCGTGCCGCTGGTGCTAGCTCTCGAGAGGTTGGTGCTGCGCCTGTTCCTATACCGGTTTCTGGTTCTGGGGGTACTGGAGTTGGAGCTGGTGTTGGAGCTGGAGGTGGAGCTGGAGTAGGCACTGGAGTTTCTGGTTCTGGGGGTGCTGGAGTTGGAGCTGGAGTTTCTGGTTCTGGAGTTGGAGCTGACCCGGTGGGTGCAGAGGACTCTTGTCGTCCGGGAGCCGGTGCTGGCCGCGCGGACTCTGGGGGTGCTCCCTCTGGGGGTGAGGGTGCGCCTGCTTCGGGTTCTGGTGCGCCTGGGTCTGGAGCTGGTGTTAGTGCTGCCTCTGGGGGTGGTGCGCCTGGTTCTTCGGGGGTTGACTCTGGAGCTGCCGCTGCTTCGGACACTACTCCGCCCCCCCACCCCTACCCGACTAGGCACCAGGCTCGTGTTCGCCGTGCGCGTGACGAGCAGCTGGAGTTGGAGAGAGAGGAGAGGGAGTTACAGCGGCTGGCGGAGCAGCAGCAGCAGCTGGACCCGCAGGAGCAGCAGTCCCAGCAGCAGCCGCGTCCGCAGCAGCAGCAGTTGCAGCAGCAGCAGCAGCAGCCA